GACGTCGCCCTCGACCGTTAAAACACTTCTATGATAAAAACCCTGTGGGAAAAGTCATAGAGTAGGGAAAGGTATCGAGCTTAGTCCCGCCTGTTTCGTTGTCGCTTACGAGCCCGGTCATTATCGATCGGTGGGCCTTGACTTCTCGTATGGGGTCGTATGTTCGAGGTTGGTTGGAAGTTCCCGTCTGCCAATGCCTCCTGTGGCTCGGGTGTTGTCAGTCGCTTTCGTGTATTCTGTTTCCTGGTAGGATCCGGGTCCTCACGATAGGGTCGTAGCAGCATCTCGTGAAAGACGTCATGAACCTTCCATTCTACCGGAAGTTCAAGGCGGTAGGCTCGATTGCCCACTACTGCTGATATTGTAAATGGTCGCGTGAATCTGTCTGACCACTTGGAGTATTCCCCTAGGTTCCGAGTATCCAGCAAGACTTTCTGACCGATAGTGAACCGCTGTATTGCTGGCCCTGGCTTTGACGCCATCCTGTCGAAGGTCTTCTGTAGCGTATCTCTCGCTAACTCGTGAGCCGTGATGATCTCATCCAAGTAGTTGTTCCCATTGGCATCTAACCGTTCGATCTCTGCATCTGTAGACCAATCCGTTCGAGGGTGGAAGCCATAATTGCAGTAGAACGGTGATTGCCCGGTCGACGTATGCTTTGCGTTGTTGTAGGCGTATTCCCAAATAGGCAACAGGTCCTTCCATTTCTTGCCTGTTCCTGCCGTATATGCCCGGAGATAACCTTCCATATGCTGGTTGGTTCGTTCTGTCTGGCCATCGGTCTGCGGGTGGAATGAGGTGGAGAGTCTCCTACGAATCCCCAATCTTTCCGTGATTGCTGTCCAGAATGCTGACACGAACTGTGTTCCTCTGTCTCAAGGGGCAGCGGTGGCAGATATTCCGCAGGGTACGATGTGCGACAGTAGTAGCTGTCGAGTTAGTCAAGCAAGGCGCGATGGTCTTCGTAAGGAAGAGAAGTAACAGCGTGTAGGTGGAGAACCAGCGTAGATTATAGTAGTGGTCCTACCTGAGATGGTACGCCAGGTGAGGACGAGTGTTTATATTATAGAGAATACAGAAGATAGATAGATAGTTTTATATTGCTTTGAAGTACATGACTTATCGCACGCCGACGCCTCCGCCTAAAAACATAAGAAAGAACAAAAGGAAAAGGAAACGGAAAAAGCGAAGAAGAGGAAAGGAAAAGGAAAGATAACGTGAAGGATCATAATGCGGAACAGAAAAGGAAAAGAAAAGATAGAAAAAAAAATCATTCCTCCGGGTCCTTCTCATCCATTTCGTACCAGTTGAGTAGGTTGGTTTTTGCTGCGAATTGTAGAATCATGTCTACGTTGAGGTTGGTAAATAGCCAGTTTTCCCATGTGGGCGGTCCTGGGATTTTGTCCATAAGTGGCCTCCGTAGTTGTGTCCATCGTGGGCAGTCAATCATGGTGTGCTTGGAAGATTGTTCCGAGCCACATTGGCAGGGTTCGGGTTCCCTGAATGCTGCGTGTCTGTCTATCCTGGTGGCTTGACATCGTATGCGGTGTATGAGTTTTGCTTTGGATCGGAGGAGTTTTGCTCGCTTTGGTTGGATTTTTAGGGTTCCTGGTTCGTGGTAGTTGATGCATGGGATGGAGTTCCATTCTTCCAGCATTCGTTTGGTGAGAGTATCGTTTTGGATCCATCGCTCTCTGCGATTGCCTGGTTCCTGGAAGGGTAGCATGAGTGATGCAATCCGATGTAGGCCTGTTCCTTTGGTATTTTTTATTCTGGTAGGGAGGAGCTGTATGAGTTCTTCTGTTACGAACCACTACCGCAACACGGAGGAAGCATGAGTCATCGGAAAGTGCCGGAGGTTTCTGCGAAGGATTAGTAATCGGGTTGTTTCTTCTTTCTTATATATAGGGGGCGCTTGCCCCCTCACTGTCTACTTCTCTCCTTACGCAACATCTTGTATTTTACTTTGAGTTATTACTTTGGGGGATTTACTTCGCTTCAATACACTTCTTTACTCTCCGTCCACGTTACGTCTGCTGCCCATCATGCTCTTCGCATCCGCCGTTATGTTCCTCGTCGTCGCCCTCATGGCCCTCTGCTCGCTTACCCAGCTGTTCCCCTCGGCCCCCTCGCCGACCGCTGTCTCCTCCGCCCTAGTGCGGACCCTTGTCCCTGCCCTCGGGCACACCGCTGACTCCCCACTCCCCATCGTGCGAGCCTATGTTCTCCTCCCCAGGAGCCCCCTAGTGTCCTTCGACCCCCTTGCCAAGCCCTCGCACACGGTTCCTTACACTATGTTGCGTACCTTATGGTCGACCGACACCCTCTTTCCGAAGAACACCAACACACTGCTACCATTCGCTTACGCCGCCATCTTCCTCCTAGCCTGGACAACAGCCTACCTACTCGGTAGACTTCCCCCCCGAGCTAGGGAGGAACCATTCGCCGACCAAACCCCCCCACTATTGACACCCCGACGCACTCGACGACTACAACGCCTCCTCCTCCAATGCGCTGACTCTTTTGGAAACCCTACAGGAAACGACCCGGGTTGGTGTTTCCTAACACTAACCTCCAGGGACTTCCACCCCTACCTCATCGGCATCGGACCATACCCATCGCCTGTCAAGGTCTTGAATACCCTTCATCGGTTAGGAGCACCACTACTCCCTGCCCTGGTCACCCGTCATGGGGGCACAGCCCACGTCACCAACGCCCCCGGCGCCCACACGGCCACACGACTCTTACGGACGAGAAGGGTAGGAGCCAAACTCAAGATCGGACAACTACACCACCCCGGCGACTGCGAACCCTTTGAAGTACCAATACGGCTATCTCGGAACAAGGAAGCGCTCCAGGCGCTGGTGGACACCGGAGCCACCGGATATGGGTTCATTGACGCTTCCTTCGCCAAAGCCCGCGGATATCCCCTCGAAGAACTAGCGACCCCAAGACATTTGCAAGTGATCGATGGACGAGCCATCGCCTCCGGAGCCATCACCCACTGTTGCAAACTCCGCCTCGAGATGAATGATCATGTGGAAGGGGCCTCCTTGTTTGTCACCAAGCTCGGCGAAACGAAAGTGGTCCTCGGACTCCCCTGGCTACAACACCACGCTCCCGAAATACGGTTCGCCGACCGATCCATCTCCTTCCACGCCGAACGCTGCCAACAGCACACTGCAACTCTCTGGACCTCCACCCTCACCTGTCCCACATTGACCGCCTCCGCCGCCACCCTGCCGCCCCCGCCAATACCCCCGAGACCACGCACCGCCATCCCCTCGCGCCCGCCGCCAATACCCCCAAGGCCAGCCACCCCTCGCCACACGACTACCCTGTCCGCCGCCCGATTCCGCAGAGAAGCACAACAACCGGACAACCAGCTTTTCCTACTCGCAGCCCGAGCCCCAAGCCCAGACTCATCGCCGTCCCGATCAACCGATGAACTGGTCCCCGCCGCTTACCACCAATACCTCCACCTGTTCCAGGAATCCGAGGCCCAAGCGCTCCCCAACCACCGGTACATCGATCACGAAATCCCGTTGATGGAAGGCAAGCAACCACCCTTTGGCCCCCTGTACGGCATGTCCTCGGAGGAATTAAAAACCCTGCGGGAATACCTGGATGACCAGCTAGCCCGAGGGTACATCCGTTCATCTTCGTCCCCTGCAGGAGCTCCCGTCCTGTTCATCAAAAAGAAGGACGGATCCTTAAGGCTATGTGTGGATTACCGCGCCCTCAACGCAGTCACCATCAAGAACCGCTACCCACTGCCGTTGATCAACGACACCTTGGACCGATTAAAAGACGCCAAGATATACACCAAGTTGGACCTCCGCCAGGGCTACAACCAAATCCGAATCAAGGAAGAGGAAGAATGGAAAACAGCCTTCCGAACCCGGTACGGGCTGTTCGAATACCTGGTCATGCCATTCGGACTCACCAACGCCCCCGCTACCTTCCAGGCCTTCATGAACGATACCCTCCGAACCCACTTGGACGACTTCTGCACGGCGTACCTCGATGATATCCTGATCTACTCCAACACGCCCGAAGGACACCAGCAGCATGTCCGCATTGTCCTGGACAAACTACAAGCCGCGGGCCTCCACTGCAAGCCAGAGAAGTGTGAGTTCCACGTGGATCGTACCGAGTACCTGGGGTACATCATATCCGGCGAAGGGGTCACCATGGCAACCGACAAAACAAAGGCGATCCAGGAGTGGAAGACACCCACCTCGGTCCACGACGTACAGGTCTTTTTGGGGTTCGCCAACTTCTACCGAAGATTCATCCGCGACTACTCCAAGGTAGTATCCCCCATGACGAACCTGTTGAAGAAGGACGCCCCGTTCGTATGGACAACCGCGGCGGAACACGCTTTCGCCCAACTAAAGGAAGCTTTCACCACCGCCCCGGTACTAAGGCACTACAACCCCGAACGAGCGTGCATAGTGGAAACCGATGCCTCTGACTTCGTTGCGGCAGCTGTACTCTCCCAGAAGGACGACCAGGGAATCCTACACCCTGTGGCGTTCTACTCCCACAAGATGACGCCAGCCGAGTGCAACTACGACATTTATGACAAAGAGTTGCTAGCGATCGTACGCGCGTTTGAACAATGGCGAAAGTACTTGGAACCCAACAACCAAGAAACCACGGTGTACTGCGATCATAGGAACCTGGAGCACTTCATGTCCACAAAGATCCTTAACCGTCGTCAAGCCCGCTGGTCCTTAACGCTGTCCTCCTTCAACTTTGTAGTCACCTACCGCCCAGGTACGAAGAATGGGAAACCTGATGCCCTCACACGTCGATCTGGAGATCTCCCTAAGGAAGGGGATGAGAGATTGACCCAGCAGCACCAGGTTGTACTAAAACCAAAGAACCTTCGTCTGGCGGCCGCACTACAGACCCCCACACCCTCCAAAGTGGCACCATCCCGCCAAAGGGAACTAGAGACCGCACTGGCCAAGGACCCTCTATCCAAACAACTCATGAAGGATATCGTGGCGAAGAAGAAACACTCCCGCTTCTTACCCATAGGTGAATGCACAGTTAAGGAAGGATTACTGTACTATCAGGGCCTACTATACATCCCTGACGACGCCGCTATCAAGTTGGAGATCCTCCGCACCCACCATGACGCACCTTCGGCCGGACACCCAGGACGGGCACGCACGCTGGAACTACTGTCCCGGAACTTCTACTGGCCCCAAATGCGGAAGTACGTCGCCCGTTATGTGGACCACTGCGATACCTGCTCCCGAATTAAGCCGGCCCGACACGCCCCGTATGGTCTCCTCAAACCACTGGCTCCCCCAGTCAAACCTTGGTCTTCGTTATCCATGGACCATGTTACAGGCCTACCGAGTCCCAAGGATCTAACGCCATCTTAGTAGTGGTCGACCGGCTCACCAAAATGGCCCACTACATCCCCACGAGGGACACCGCCGACGCCCCGGAACTGGCCCGACTATTCCTACAACACATTTGGAAAGCACACGGGCTGCCGAAAGACATCGTATCAGACCGGGGCTCAACCTTTACCTCGCAGTTTTGGAAGTCACTCTGCGGCCAATTGGACATCAAACCCCGATTCAGCACAGCCTTCCACCCACAAACAGACGGACAGACCGAAAGGGTAAACGCCATTATGGAGCAATACTTACGGGGCTACATCAACTACCAACAGGATAACTGGGCAGAGTTTCTTCCCCTGGCAGAATTCGCGCATAACAAAGCCTCTACGGAACCGTTGGGAGTCAGCCCGTTCTTTGCCAACTATGGGTATAATCCCCAACTAGACGTCCTCCCTGCTGAAGAAACGCACAAAGTCACACCGAAGGAGGTACTGGAATTTGCGAACGCAATCTACACCTTACAGGCTGCCCTGCGATCAGAGATCCTGTATGCACAAGCCGCCGCCGCCGAGAGTGCAAACGCCGCCCGACTTCCAGAGCCCCGACTCGAAGTAGGAGACATGGTATGGCTATCGAGAAAACACATACGCACCACTAGGCCATCGGATAAACTAGATCACAAACGGCTAGGGAAGTTCAAAATACTCGAACGCATCGGATCACATGCCTACCGCTTGGAACTCCCTGCCTCGATGAAGTCCCACCCAGTATTCCACTTTTCATTGCTGGAACCTGCTCGGACCCAACCTTTGCCAGGCCATATACAACCACCACCGCCCCCAGTAATCGTTGAAGGGGAGGAGGAGTTCGAAGTACAGGAAGTACTGGACTCCCGAATACGGCATTGGGAATTACAATACCTAGTCAAATGGACCGGCTACGAACAGCCCACCTGGGAACCGGCTCGGAATCTCGATGCGGAATTAGGGGCACTGCAACGCTTCCGCTCCCTATATCCCAACAAGCCCGCGGAATCCTTAAGAGGACCTTGCGTAGGAAAGTATAGTTTGTTACGGTTTCTTTCGCAAATGAAACCGCTCTATGTTACGTTCCCTGGTGTTTCGCCTACAACCATTTGCTAACTTGCTATGTACTTACTTTCACCTCGCCTCCCGCCTACTTGCTCGCAGGAGCTCGCTCTTCGAGAGGAGGGGCTAAACTGTTACGAACCACTACCGCAACACGGAGGAAGCATGAGTCATCGGAAAGTGCCGGAAGTTTCTGCGAAGGATTAGTAATCGGGTTGTTTCTTCTTTCTTATATATAGGGGGCGCTTGCCCCCTCACTGTCTACTTCTCTCCTTACGCAACATCTTGTATTTTACTTTGAGTTATTACTTTGGGGGATTAACTTCGCTTCAATACACTTCTTTACTCTCCGTCCACGTTACGTCTGCTGCCCATCATGCTCTTCGCATCCGCCGTTATGTTCCTCGTCGTCGCCCTCGTGGCCCTCTGCTCGCTTACCCCGCTGTTCCCCTTGGCCCCCTCGCCGACCGCTGTCTCCTCCGCCCTAGTGCGGACCCTTGTCCCTGCCCTCGGGCACACCGCTGACTCCCCCCTCGCCATCGTGCGAGCCTATGTTCTCCTCCCCAGGAGCCCCCTAGTGTCCTTCGACCCCCTTGCCAAGCCCTCGCACACGGTTCCTTACATCTTTGTTGAGTGGGTGGTCTGCGGGGTGGCAGAGGATGCGCGTTCCATATTTTCGTGATTTATAGTTGAGGAGGAGTTCAAGTGGGGGGAGTGCTGCCTCTTTTAGTAGTCTTTCGGTTTTTGTCCAGCGGGGTAGGCCTGTTATTATCCTGGCGGCTTCGTTATAGAGTGGGGATAGTGATCGGAGGACCTGGTCGGCTCCCGTCCACCACGCCTCCGATCCCACAGGATAGTGGGGAGAAAAACCTTGGACGGTGAGGTGGTGAATGGATTTGACTGTTGATCCGGGGAGGTAGGCGATATTTCTGATGCTGCCTAGGGTTCTGAGGCCCTTGGCGATAGTTTCTTCGATGTGTGGTCGGAAGGAGAGGTTGGAGTCCAGCCAGACTCCTACATATTTGAGTCTGTCTTTGGGGTGGATTTCTTCTTCTGCAATTGTTACCCTGTTTTTGGGGTTTGGGGCGTTCGATGTTGTGGGTTTGAAAAAGACTAAGTCGGATTTTTGGGGTTCGTATTTGATGTTAAGGGGTGCCGCTTTCCTGACTCTTTCGTTCATCCTTTCGTTGAGTCTTTTGGTAATAATGAGAGGGGACTTTGCTAGTTGGACGAGGGCGTCGTCGTCGATGTAGGTGGTGTTTATTTCTTTGGGGGAGTTGGTGGGGTCTGTTATTACCCCGGCATATATCATAAATAGTACTGGGGATAGGGGGGAACCTTGGGGCAGCCCGGAGGTGTATGGTTGTGGTGGTTCCAGTTCGTGGTTGAATTGGAATTGGAGTTTTCGGTTGGTGTTGAATTCCTTGCACCATGTCGTTAGGTATGTTGGGAATCTTTGTTGGGTCATGATCTCGGCGAGTAGGATGTGGTCGACACAGTTGAAGGCTCCTTGTATGCCGTTCGTGAGGAGCGCTGGTCTGTCTGGGGTGGCGGTTCCTGTGGTCCGTTTGCTCAGGAGGTTCTGTTGGATGGGCGTGAGGGTATGGAGTAAGGCATCGATTGCCGAGATTGTTGGTCTGCCTCCAAATTGGTCTTTGCTAAGGGTTTCCAGGATGGTTCCGGCGGTGCATAGTCTTGTTGCCACTATCTTTTCCAATCCCCTGCTAAAGCATTGTAGTAGAGAGATGGGTCGGTAGGCTTTGGCCGATGAGTAGTCGGGTTTTCCTGGTTTCGGGATTGGTATGCATTTCGCCACTTTCCATTGGTCTGGTTGGACTCCATGTCGGAGCATGGCCGAGAACATGTCTTGGAAGAGTTGGGTGTTTGCCTTGATTGTTGCCTGTATGAATGGATATGGGATGCTATCTGGTCCAGTGGCCGAGTGTGTTGGGCATGATCTGATTGCGGATGTAATTTCTTCTGTTGTTACTTCCTGAATATAGTCACTAAGGTCAAAGGAGGGGGGTCTGATTTGGAGTGGAGGGTTGTTGGGGGACGTCCAATTTGTGTGGAAGAGTTGGGCTCTTAGAGCTTGGCACTTCCCCGCAAACGTTTCTTCACCTTGTATAGTTGGGATTGTAGAGTCCCTTCTTTTCCCCGTGTTGATTAGTTTCTAAATGGCGCTTCCCTTGGCTTCCATGAGTTCTTTTTCCCTTTGTTCTGCCTTGGCTTTTCGGATTGCTGCCGTCCATTTCCTGCTGGTCTTCCTGAAAGATTCCCTGTCTTCGTCCTTTTGGGTGTTTCTGGCTTTCCTTTCTAGGATGTTGAGGGAGGATTTGAGTTTCTTAAGCTCTAGGGTCCACCACTTCTTGGACTTGAGGTGTCCTTGGCTCCATGGGGTGACCTGATCTATCAGGTTATCTATGTGTTCGAGGATGAAGTCGACCGATTGCTTTGTGTGGTTCTGACTTTCCCATGCTTCGGGGGGAAAGTGGAGGCCTGAGATATTTTCTTCCAATTTTTCCCAATTCGTTCGGTGCCATAGCCTCCTGGGGATGTGAGGGGGCTTCTCTATTCGTAGTTGTAGGATGGTTTTCCCGTGGTCGGATCCTGCTCCATGTCGGTCAATGTTCCAGCGGACGTCATGGTCCAGGATTGGTCCTTTGACTAGTGTCTGATCGATGATGGTCGGTCTGTTATTATTTCTGGGGAAGTGTGTGAATTCGCCTGGTTCATTGAGTAGGGATAGCTTTTGTCAATCAATCCATCTTTTTAGTTTCTTGGATCCGGGTTTGTATGCTCTGATTGTGTTGGTGTAGTCATGGGATCTATGCCCATACAATAATTGGTGGTGGCTGTTGAAGTCTCCCATGACGAGGCAGTTTTGGATGGTGGTTATTTGTCGGGAGATTTCTGCGAAGGGTCCGCTCCGCCCTGGTGAGTAAATGTTGAGGATTTGTGTTTTTTGGTTCTGGATTTCCACCGTGACGGAGACGATGAAGTTATTATTGGTGTAATGGTGTTTTGGTTTTAGGTTGGCGTGTTTTCTGATGTATGTAGCGGCTTTCGTGCCTTTGTTGCTGGCTGTGAGTAGATAAAAGAGAGGGGATTCCGGTGGGTGGCCGTCTTTATTATTCCATGGTTCTTGTAACAAAAGAAAAAGTATGTTGTGGTCCTGTTCTGCTTCCTCCACTACTGACTTTGTTGTGAGCTCGTTTTTCGCGCAGTTCAGTTGCTGTGCGATAGCCGTTGTCCTTTTGGTGTGACTCATTGGGTGTTATCCATGGCTGCATCTTCTTGGGGGGGGTCTTGGGCCGGGATGACGATGGGTATAGGTAGTGGGCTTGGGTTTGTATCTGGTCCGAGTTTGTTTGTGATGCGGACTTTGGTACGTTCCGGGCAGTTGGCGTCTGTTGCTTTATGGGGGGCCTTGCAGTGATAGCACCGGATGGGTGTATGGATACATCTAGTGCCCCCTGAGCATTCTGAGCATCGGTGTTCTCTTGTTTGGTGGTCCTCTGCACAGTGTCCGCATCTCCCGGTTTGGTGGGAGCATCTTTGGTGTCGGTGGCTGTACTCTAAGCATTTGGAGCATTGGGTCTCTGAGTTGGCTGGGAGGTAGTTGTCGATTTTGCATTGACGGTCGAATAAGGTGAGGTATCTCAGTCCGAGGTTATCTTTTATGTATTGTCCTGGGAGTGCGATGATCATTGATGAGTGTGTTTTCTAGTAGGAGAATGTCGGACAGGATTTCGAGGTTGCCCGGGAACCGTCGCCCCACAATTCCCAATTCCGTACCTACGGATTAAACAGGCCGCCCAGAGTCCATCGCCATCGTCAAATATGTAGGTACCGGGGTGGTGGTCGTGATGGCAGGGGCGTAGGTGGTGGTTGGGGGCTGTTGGGTAGGGTAACTCCCTGTGAGTCTTGGCGGCCTGTCCTGCAGCA